AAAAAATTCACAATGCAGGCCGTATACTCCACTGTGGCTCGCGCAACAAGTAAATATTCGTGTAATAGACCATACATATATTAATGGATTACTGCAGGGAGTGTGGAGCTTTAGGGCTACTAGGGGAGTAAAAAAGATACTGTACTTTAGGGATTGTAGACACTGAACGGAGCATTTGAGACCGGCAAAATAATTCATGTTGATGTTGCTTGAACATGGGACCAGTATGTAATATAAAATCAGGCACTCAGATATTCTGATCCTTCACTCTCAAGTCGTCTCTCTACCTGCTAATTAATCACCTGCACTTCCAAGGCTCAGAGTTGGTATAGTGGTGCTCCTTAGAATGGCGTAATAAATGCTTGCACGCCCCATTGTTGGCCCGTCCAGCATATTAGAGTGTGCACAACTGGTGGTGTACACTATTGAGGCTAAACATATCATCCAAGGGCCGATCTCGATATTATTGCTGTTACTCCGTTTCGGCTCCTACTCCTTTTCTATTGAATGGCCCCAGTACGTAAGTCTGTCTCCACAAAATCACTTAAACTTACATCGCAGCTATGCGACTACTCTCAGAAATGTAGCATAGCCATGCATATGCCTGGGTAAATATTGGGTCCAACTAGATTTACTGTTGTGAAACATACAAGCCATACAGAAAATAGAATTGCGGTGCGCTAGCATCTCTGCCATCTGGGTAGGCTTAATAAGAACTCAAATAAAAAAAACTCGGTACCGTTGGAAGTTGGTGTCTTCTGGCATAAGCAGTTCTTATATTCAAAAAAGGCCTATATCAAAGGCATTAACACTCTTTCTTCTATATGTTATTAAATGCTGATGCTGTGGGTTTGTGGTTGGCGACATTGCTAACTCACGACATGGAATATGTAAATGTTGTTAAAGTTTTCTTACCTGGACACAAGACGTATCTACTTCTACTTGTAACAGAGTTCCATTTCTCCAGTGTATGTGCAGACTGGTGGTTGTAGGTTTCGTACATCACACTTGATATAAGTGTATGATACTGGACATCAGGACGGATACCATCATGAAAAAGTTACCCAATCTTCTCGACTTATAAATTTTTCTTGATCTGAAAAAAAACAAAAAGCAAAAAGTAAGACAACAGAGAAGACTATTATTACATATAAAAATACGAAACTCACATCACAACTTACAATCACAACTAGCACCAGATGATGTCTTTCATAACATAAATGCAGGTGATGGATAATCAAGTCTAAAAAACATTTCCTAGAGGTGGTTATTATAATGTGGGATGTGGAGAGTTGTTATTATCGTATAGTCTTCGGGGCCGCGGTGTGGAGAGCTGACATCTGAATATTTCATGCAGATGATTAGAGGGTAGATAGATAGATAGATAGATAGATAGATAGATGAGTAGATAGATGAGTATACCTTTATTTATCCTGAGGGAAAGTCGTATCTATTTTTTTTTTTTTTTGGGGGTCCCATTCTGTATAAGTTTTTAAGGGGCAGAAATAGGCTGGGACTGTTCCTGTCAATGGGACCCACCTTGGGCCACTCTGGGGGTCCTGTACGAGACAAAAATTAGGGGCCCCTGGAGGGGAGGCAGGAGGGAGGGAGGCCTGTGAGTCGGGATGGGCGGAGGAGCCTGGAGGAGGCGGGGTCTTTGTTTGTTCGTGGCTCGGCTGGCAGGAACAAAGGGTCCTGTAGTAGTAGTAGAAAAAAATAAAAAGGTAGCACCGTACCCCCCCCGTGAAACAAATGACATTTAAAAACATCCAGTTCGGGAGGATCGCAGCCTGACGGGAACCGGAGTAAGTAGGCTGGAGGTGTTTCCTCTCCCCGTCTCTGGTGGGATCGCAGCACCGCGGTACTAAGGGTCGGAGCTGGAGCTGCTCACCGGCTAGCTTGCGAGGCTAGGCGGCTAGAAACACCGAGCGGAGGTGTGGACCGCGTTTCGGTGGACCCCCTTTTTTCTCTGCAGGTAACTCCCAACTTAACAGCCACACTGCTTCATCGACACTGGTTTTAATTGCAAACCCGCTAAAACAAACAAAAAAAAAAAAACCGTAAAAACAAGCGCGGGGTGTTTTTAAGTGGATGTAGTTTTAGCATTACGAGCTAGGTTAATAGTTTAGCAATGGCACCCGTCCTCTGCAAACGCTTAATGAATGCGGGGCCTTGCGGTTCAGTTCACGCCTGGTCCTGTGTGTGTGTGTGTGTGTGTGTGTGTTAAAGTGAATGCTGTTTTATTTATTTATTTATTTATTTATTTATAACTGTGTGCACACAGGCCGAGCAATAAGCTGGCAGCAGTGTAAGTATGTAGAGGGAGTCCGCACATTGCTCTGGATGTTTTATTGGCCGAGGGCCAGCTTCTTGGATGCAGCTCTATTGTTTGCAGTGAACAGTTTGGGCGGACTGAACTGCACCAAAGTCTCACTATTTAACACTAAACCTTTTTATTTATTCGAGTGCATTGTCATCTGATCTTAATTTAGGTGCTTTCAGGCTGGAGTCATTCCTCTCTTTATTTGTAATGTGTACACAAACTCAGGATGCCTGCCCCGGGTGATGTCTTTCACTAAGACCCTGTGTCTGGTCCGTGGAGCCGTCATTATCTACATG